TTTTTTCTTGACTAGGACAATAGGACTAGCATACTCCGATGTGGATTTTCTTATAATTCCTGCTTCCAAGAGTTCATTTATTTTGCCGTTCATTATTTCATTTTCCTTATGCGAAACTCTGTACGGTTTACGATACACAGGTTGGTTAGAAATAGTTTTTATGTGTAACTTAATTAAGTTAGTACATCCTAAATCTTTCGTATCTCTGGCAAATGAATGAGCATACCTATTCAATAATTGTAGCAATACATTTATTTCCCTATGATTTAACTCACCCACATCGATATCGGACAATTTAATTTCGGACTTATTGGTGACTTGGTCTATAATAAGAGTATTGGTTTCAAAGCTATTATTTTTTTGTTTTAAAATCTCTGCTCTAGCTACGAGTTTATTAGCAGGCCATGATATAGTTTCATTCCCAACATTTAGGACCTTTAAATATGACATACTGGAATTAATAATGGCTTCTGGAATATAATACGATAACCCACCTAGCTGAAAACATACTGCATGTGTTAGGAATGCGTGCTCGTTTTTGTCAGTATTACTGTCACAGTCGACACTTACGCTAATGTATGCATAGGTTCGGCTAGGTATAGTGACGTCTAGTTTTGTAAAGACTGGAAATTTTGAAACATATTCAATTATGTTAAAACTGTTTTTTGTTAAGACATCTCCTAAAGTGAAGGTTGGAACAAATTTTACGAGATTCGACGTAGTAACTAAGCTCACATTTTCTTGATTTATCATTGATTGTCCGATTATTAAGTCTATATCTGGTAGCTTGCAATCGGTTAACTCTACATCTCCTACCAAAAATAAATCATCAACATTTACAATAATTTGGCAAGTACCTAGCGAATATGAACAGGCTCCTCCAAAACCCTTCATTACAATAACTGAGGGCCGAGTTTTAAGTTTCATTTTTTGGGCTTGTGTAATAGTAAGTATGCTAAGCTTACTTCCAGTATCTATATAGGTCATCAATTTGATACCATTAACGATGACTCTTTTTTTATAAATATGTGGGTATTTATTAAGCGTAACGTGTAATACGTCACTAACCTTATAAGCCTGTTGTTGCATGGGACCAACTCCAGAGTTGGCTGCAGTTCCAGTAGCATACCAGCATGCAGCAGTTGCATGCCCTAGACGCTGACACACATCACAGCGCTGCTGGCAGTCCTTCCTTTCATGTCCTGGTCGTCGACACACATAGCAGATCTTGGGAACAAGTTGACGGCGACCCGAAGTAATTTGTGTATTTTTCCTCCAGATAGAATTGCGTGGTGTAAACGCGGACGTCTCCGAGCGTTTAAAGTTTTCAAGCGATGACAGATAACCGAAGTAAAGTTGTTCTGGCGTTTCACAATTGTAGGCTTTAGCATTAGCTCTCAATTCATGTGGTAAACCTCGAATAATGCAGGAGATTGCATGTTCACCATTAATGTTGCATTTTTTGAGAAGTGATAACTTTTCATGATAATATTTAGTCATAGTCTCATAGTCACTTTTTGACCTTGCCAGCATTGTTTCTAGTCTGTCTACGTAGTCGGTAGATCGAGGAAACGCAGTTTGAAGTGCTTCCTTCCACCCGTCCCAAGTAAGAGCATAATCGTCAAGGTCATCATACCACTCCCGAGCAGATCCAGCAAGGCGTAACTGCATTATAAATTGGCGATCCTTGCAATTCCATCCGTATATGTCACCCAACTGGTCAATTTTATGAAGCCATCCAGTAACGTTACTGGTTTGGTCGTCTGGGCAGAATTTGGGTATAACTTCCGCGTCTATCGGAGACACACGACGTCTTTTGGTGAGCATTGAAGTTCTTTTTTTTTGAAAAAAAATTTCGTCATCCTCATCTTCTTCTGATGTTGTAGTGTCGCCGTATCTTCGCTTGCATTCTCCTAGTCCTCCAATATACGGTCCGGACATAGTTAGTACGATCCCACTTCTGAAGTTTTAAATAAGTAACTATGAAGTAAAACAGATTACCTTGTAGCACTTTTTATTCACCTTATAACGAATCACAATAATTATATTATACTTAATGTAGATGATAACAACTACTAGCAGAGCGACTTGCTTGCACACGACCGAAGTGAACTGAACTGAACTAAGATACCTCTGGCAATTTAATTTATAGTGTACAGCGCTGTTACAACTACCCACTAATCTTATTATTTTTACCTATGTTACTCTATGGTTTTATAATTTATTAAATCTGAAACATATCTATATTTAATAATCATTTATGTTTAATAATTTATTATATAGGTGTCGATGATTTCAAATCCACTCGTAACATTCGCAATATGGCAGGTTTGAAAGATGAGCTTATCACAAAAATTGATAAGGGCGTGCTTCGATGGTTTGGGCACGTTGAGCGAATGAGTGAAGACCGAATGGTGAAGAAAATATATAGCGCGAAAGTTAATATTAAAAGGTGTCGAGGTAGACCGAGACTAACTTTCGAAGACCATGTGAGCAAATTGCTCGAAGAGAGGAGGGTCAAGAGTACTCGGATACCTAGACGTGCATGCATGAAGAAGATAATGAATCTGAAAGAAGCGAAAGAGGTTTGTAAGGATCGTGACACTTGGCGATCTGTTCTCTCTGGCTACCCCGTCAGGGATTGTGCGTGAAGATAAGTAAGTTTAAAGAAAAAAACTATAAATAATTATTGCCACTAATGTTCAGTATCATTTACATTGGAGTAGAATGAAAATAAAATAAAAATATAATTATAAACAATCAAACGACAACATTTTGGTCTCAAAACTAAAATACAAGACAAATCTTTTTTTAACTTATGTAAACAAAAAAAAAAGTGAAATAATGAAAAAGTAAGTGAAAAAATTTTCAGTTTGATGAGTTTAAAAACAATAATTTCACCAAAATTCTTCTTCGTCTCTATCCCAAAATACGTTTTCGTTTTTTGCTGACAATATTTCCCGCTTTCAAAAATAATCTTTCGGCTGGCGCGGAACTGGCCATTACAGGCAGGTGTTTAAGAGCCAATTCGGTTAGTTTAGGGAAAGTTCCTTCAGAGCTTCTCCATATATTGAGGGCATCTGCCTTGAGATTTGATAGTGGTGCCGCAATATATAGATCCAATTCAGTATTTTTGCCTATTGACGTGTTGGCCGCTATCATTTTTTCATTATAAAATACTTCCGTCAGTGACTTTTAGGCGTTTTACAAGACATTTTTATTGTTTATATATAATTGTTTACACTAACCAAAGAAAGAAAGAAAACCACAGAATATTTTTACTCCTAGCGGAGGAAGAAACCTGTTGAAAACATACGAAAAGCGAAACTGTTTTACATACATAGAGATACATAAAGGTGGTACATACATAGAGATACATAAAGGTGGCGCCGTCTTTTGATTGACTTATTCATGTTATTGAACTTACTTCACGTTTTTACATCCATCGCACAGATGACTCTGATAACAAAAATGCGTCATTTACATAAAAATCGATTTATTAAAAATCGATTTTTATTATAAAAAAAATCGACTTCGAAAAATCGATTATAAGAAAAAAATAATCGATTAATATGAAAATCGATTATTTTTTCACATCCCTATGCGCAACGTCACGTCTTACGGAGAAGAGCTCGCGAAGAATTGTAAAAATTACCGTTTGTGTTGTAAAATATTGTCACAACGGTGATGATAAACATAAAAGAGGTGATGGTATTGCATTTCACATATAAGTTTATACATTTAATTCATTATAAGTACGTAAAACTAAAAAAATACTTACCTAAGCTCTCATAATACAAATGTTGCTAGTTGTGGGGAAAAAAATCACAATTTTCTTTTAAAAATATTTATATTCTATTTGTGTTTAAAACGTTTAATCGCAACGCTCTGTGTAAAACTCAAATGTTTATATATAGATACCTACTTCTCTAAGTGTTAACATTATATTAACAATGGTTGCCTATTTAAAATTAATACGGAGTGATCAGCTAATCGCGATTCGTCGACGCCATTTTAACGCCACTATTTTATTTTAATTGCTTTGTTTATTGACTAAGGCTAAGTTTTAGAGTATAGAATAAAAACTTTTTTATTTACAACATCAAGAGATTATTAATAAGAACGCCTTTACTAACCAGATTCACTTTACACCCAAACATTAACCAGATGTTATGTTAGACCCAATCATAGCCTATTTTAACCGACTCCCAAAAAGAAAGGTTATCAATATGTATGTACACTGATTTCTAAGCTTGATCAATTCGTATATACATGCTGAAATTTTAGTGGTTGTTGTCCCGCAGCCAAATTATACTGTCTCGATAGTAGAGTCAATTTATTAAATTAAAAAATATTACAATAAAAAAGGGCAGATTTACAATAGTAATACCTGACAAGCTAGTCGGGCGTGCAGACTAGTTTATGTCGTATCACAACGCTTGAGAGTTCATGTTATGAACATTTATTAGTGGCCCTTCATTGTGTAGGAAGCGCGCGGTAGCGCGTGCGATAAACGTAACACAACATTACGTCCAGTGAATTTTTTTTCAGACTTTATTATAGTAATTCGGTATAAGCTAGCCTGCACGCCCGACCTACTTGCGAGATATTGCTATTGGTTTGTGATCGCACTCGAGTTTTGTTTTTCTCGATTGTTAACGCTCGTGTTTTGTACTAGACTGCGTTTCTTTGCGTAATAATTCTATGTTTTAAGCTTACCAAAAGTGGTTAATGCTTAAAAAACTAAAAAGAAACTTAAAAAAAAAACTAAAGTGTAACTTCTTCATAATCTAGAGACTTGTAACTTTAAATATAGCTCAAAACTGGAAACGTTTTACTATTACTAGTAACGAAGAGAAAAGGAGTATTCTGTCTTATACCTCAGGAATTAAATTTTATCTGAATTTTGAAGCATAATCGAGAATTCGATCGAACCTAAGAGCCTCATCATCCGCTTACCATTATGTTAACTTTGTGACTGTTTGTCATTTATTACGTAGGTATTACGCAACACACCAGTATTTCCTGTCGCGTCGCTCGTTGTACCTGGTAGTATGGCGCACCATTGACGGGCGAAAGGGATTGGCAGGAGCTTTGGCTTGGCTCAGGTAAACAATTTTATAATAGCTTATGATTTTTTCTTATATCTTCTAAACGTGCAGTGGCGGTTTAAGAATATCTAATACCTCATAATACCCCGTCCTGTGGGTAAGAGGCGACAGTGGGGAACAAAACAGGATATGAGCAGCAGCGTCTCAACAGCTAAAAAATAAAAAAAAACTACGGTTGCCAACCCGTATGCCAAGCGTGGCAACTATAGCAAATAGCTTTCCTATGATTCAATCTATGGGTAGGCCTATGTTTAGCAGAGGACTTGCCTGTATTAAATGAATGAATGAAAATATCCGGAGGCACGCCAGTGCCCCCGCCAAACCGAGCAAAAAAGCGGTACGGCCATCCTTTTCTCGAAGCAGTTCAGGCCATTTTCGACCCTCTATAACTTCGTTGTGGATAAAACTAGAAGCCTTAATTTTCAGTAACTAAGCATGCATAGTATAAACACGGTGTTTGACAGTTTGACTAAGTAACGTATTTATTATAGCTCTGTATTTGGTTATAACGCTCATATTTCTTACTTTAATTTAGTGTCCAAGGGATCGTTGAACAAACCACACGTGTTTAATTTTATAATACTATACCCAAGCACAAGCAATACTCGACTTTATTCAAATGTACATATGGTTAAAATTCGAACCGGATCCAGCGACTTTTACCTTCTCCGTAAGCGGCTGCCCGAGAACAAAAGATTAGAAAAAGGGTCGACTTGTTGACAAGTTATATGATTTAAAAACTGATTCATTTTGTTACTTTGCTGCGTTTGAAGTTTTTTTGTCTACTTTGTACATAATAATGTACATGTACATAATGTACATAATCGCTACGGAAGTGGAAAAAGTATAGATTAAGGTGGAAAACATTGCACTCACTATGAATAAAACACAAGTTAACCTCAAAAGTGCCCAGAAGCAAGATTAACACTTAATTACGTCGTTTGAAAACTGAGCTTAAAGATTTGTTTAAATCTTTAAGCTCAATTTTCAATTCTAATTATTATAAATTTCAGTTTTAATTTCAAAATTACAGTTTTTTACTAAATGCATATGAAAGTAAATACCGTTCTTATAATCAAAATACAATTTTTAAAATTTTTGTCTGTCTGTCTGCCTGTGTGTTTGTTCCGGCTAATCTCCGAAACGGCTGGACCGATTTTGACGTGGCTTTCACTGGCAGATAGCCGATTTCATAAGGAGTAACTTAGGCTACTTTTATTGTAGAAAAAGAATTAGGGTTCCGCGCGAAAACATAAAAACCCCAACACGCGGCTGAAGTCGCGAGGAACAGCTAGTTAAAAAAAATAAAACGTTCATTGTTTACGTTCATAATGCCAATGTCAAAAACATAATTGTCATTTATATACTGCTAATGTCTCAGGGTAATTACTATGTGTGTTATTACTCTATACCCAATGTCCAACACTTAATCATCTGTAGTCAAACAGACACACAGAGTAGAGATTGTCACTGAAGAATTTCGCCGACAAATAATTACTGACATATGTAATTATTTGTTGAGATTATTTCTTGAGTGTGTCTCGAATTATTCCTTAAGTCTATGTCAAGGCCAAAAATCGTTTATTTTATATTTTGTATATTAGACATCAGTGTCTTATATATTAATATTCAGTTGAAAGTGGAATACAGTTTGCTTACATACAAACCTAAATTTTTTATAAATAACGGTCGAATTTCGTCCACCAGGCGACTGCTAGTAATAAATTAATAGACTCGTTTATTTTCAGGTCGATACAAGCCCGAGCCCCGGGCTCGCCCGTTATTATGGTCGCAACGCACTACGACCAAGTCGTCAATGTGAGTGCAATATATATATATTTGTTATGTGGTAAATAGAGCCAAACTGCAACTTTATTATTTTTGTAGCATGAATGGGTCGGCTCGACCGGAGTAGAGCCACGCTCTCACAAAATACCAGCGTGAAATAGCAGTTCAATGCTTCTGTGTTTCGTAGTGTGAATGTACACCGGAGACCCTTTTAACGCATATCTGCATTTTGATTTGTAATCGAGGATAGATGTAGATGTTAATGGGCCACAGCATCCACTAATCATCAGGCGGACTGTGTGCTCGATTGTTACCCTTATTCTATGAAAAAATAAAAAAATAAATTACGGCTGCCATATGCATCACACCAGGATGTTCACAACAGGTACTGCTCGAGTTCACTATGTACTGATGAACTCTAAATTTTTAAGGTCCTTTTTTTGACTACATCATAGAACATGCTTCAGTTACCGATGGGTCTGTAATTGTTTTCGTTTTGTATATATAGTACTGTGGTATTGTAATATTAACATTAAAAATTGACAAACAGAGGATATATGCGGAGTTATATATATATATATATATATAAGAAGTTATGTAAGTACTTCAAACATTGCGTAAGCACAGATCATGTACTTAATTGTTAATCACTATTGTAAACACACACATACACACACACACACGCACGTACACAGTATCAAATAAGACTATCGAAAATTTTCTTTAAAGATGTAATAATGTATTAATCGATGGTAAACCTAATAAATAAAAAAAAACAGTAGTAGTAGATAAGCAGGTTCATAAATAAAACAATCCAAATAGCGGCCAAATTCCCTAAATTTGACGACAGGTTTATTTTTCGTGATAAAAGGGACCTTCGGATATTGGTTTTGGAGGTGGTTGGATAATTAATAACCTAACTCAAAATAGCAGCCATTTTTTAAATTTTGGCAATACATTTATTTTCATGAATTATTTGTTGTATGGCTCACAAATAATTGTTTCCGGTCCGGATATTTGTCTTTATTTATGCAGTTTATAGGAATTGCCTCCATTATACAGGAGAAAATTCTGGAATGGTAACATTGCCCATGTTTAAAAAAAAAGTGCCTAATTGTTTTATATCTCTCTCAGAAATCAGAGGAGGCCTGTGCCCTGTAAAGGGATGTATATAGACTGTAACTTTACATAAAAAATTGTGAGAGTCTGCCTATGCCCAATCGTGGGACGTATATAAGTCGTTGCTAACTTATAATTTAAATTGTTGTCCGTCAAACAGAGCAACCTGCCTGAAAGCGAGAGTCCGCTAGCGTTGCAGCGCCTCATCAGAGCATCGGTGATGGCAGCTCCTGACGCAGACAAGATGGGTCTGCCGAAAGTGTTGGACTCTATCGAGGTATGTAGGGGCATTATTATGATCATGGCTCGGTTTAAATTTATTTGTTTATTGTTTTAAACTTTTATACATAAAAAAATATTATATTATATGACGGACTTAATGCTTAATGGGCTTCTCTCCCAGTCAATCATTAGGCTAAGCAGAGATAAACATATGGGAGGTAGTGCAGCAAAAATTAAATGAAATGTTAAAAAAGAAATTTAGCAGGGGATCCTAATTTTGATCTCGGAAAGCCATCAGGATAGCATTAATTAAAAAAAAAAGCGTGAGAGCGGATGTTCAACTTGCTCTCTTGCTTACGCAACTAATCATTATCAGTAAGAAGACAGCGTAAAGCACTATTACATACATACATTCAGTATAGAGTAATTACAGTTCGACCATACCGTAACACGTCCCCGCCACGATCGCACACCAGTGTAACGTGAGGTACGTAATTACATGATAACACCAAAGTATGCAAACCAAAAGCAACACTACTTATTTCAGTGTAACACAGGGCAGCCTCTCCGCAACACCAATCCTCCTTGCCTGCACTAGTAGAATGACTTAAGCGGAATCTCTCGCGCACGGCACCTACAGAGAACTTTATACTGCACAAACAACGCACCCTCAATTCCACCTAGATCCAACCTGTATTTTATAGACACTCCGATAGGTATATATATATATATATATATATATATATATATATATATATATATATATATATATATATATATATTTCTTTAAAGCCATGGGTTTATCCTTTCATTTTTTAAAAGAATATTACACCTTTTAATAAAATGGCAAAGAGATGACATCTGCGGAGTTTACTTCTACGTGGTAGAGCCACGCTGCGGATATTATGCTGGTAGTACGAATTGTCGGTTGGGGGAGCACCACGCAGCATACCAGCGCGTAATAGCAGCTTAATGCTGCTGTGTTTTGTATGGTGAGTGCAGAGAACCGGAGACCCTTTTTACTTGAAACGAAGCATATCATGTTAGTCCTCAGGGATGACAACGCATTTAAATTTTGATTTTTAATCAAATATAGATGTAAATGTCTATGTAGATATCTATATATACAGCGTTTATTTACTTCAGATACAGAGGAAAATGTTAGTGGGGGTCACGTTTTAAAATAAAGTATTAGTTGTGTACCTCTCTTAATGTGGCCATTAAATTATATTTATTTATTATTTTTTATATAAAGATGGTATCAAATTTCTCCAAGTTACTGTCATGTCGCAGGTCTCATGCAACACTCGCCACAACATCAGGCTGCTCGCGGACATCATCTACTCCGTCGCGTTCAGTGTGAAGCCTCCAGGTAAGTCTAGCGATGGAAGTGATGATAATGTTTGATGGTGTTCCGTATTCGACCGCCTAGGAGTCCGGGGCACTCTCCTCTTACCTATAACAGTCGCCAAATAGCAGTGCGTGCACGAATGTGTTCCGCTCTGAAGGGTATACAACCAGTAATATATAGGCTGTGATTTATTCCATCTCAGTCTGTAGGGGTGACAAGGTATTTGTAGCCTTTTCTATTTGAAGTTGGCTATAGGTATCGTACAGTACGTTCGTCTATTAAATCAATTTATATGAAAAAAAATTATGATGATGATTACGTAACAGAGTGTAGCACAAAATGAGTAGACTCGACTCGAAAAGGACCACGCCCTCACAGAATACTAGCATAAAATAGAAGCTCAAGTGTATCTGTGTTTCGTATAGTGCGTGTAGAGAAACGGAGACCATTTTTATTGGAAACGAGGCATTCCATCTCAGTCCTCAGGTGTGACAACGCATCTCTACTTCGTTTCTTAATCGAGGATGAATGTAGTTGTTAAATTACTCAGACCGACCAATAGGGAGCAACGACTAAGGTCTGATTATCGGACACTATGATTACCCATCCAATCCAAGCAAGCTGATCCATAGGTATTACCACATGGTAAAAAAAACAGAGGCAGTCATATGGACTGCCGACAGAAGTGAAAACTGAATGATATATGCGTATACATCTACACAGGCCGCTATACTACGCGTCGCTAGTCTGTCGCAAGCCATGACGCGTAGTAGACATGCTAGCGACGTATTGCGTCACTAGCATGTCAATGTCATCGGTGACGCAAACCCATAAAGTTTTTCCCCTACCAAAAATCGTTCAACGCGGGTATAGTAGTTTTCACTTTAATAAAACGACCTGTTAAGACATGCAGGAAATTAATGGATGCAGATTTCTCAGTACCGTGCTAATTAAAAACTCCTCTCCCACTGTTACTGTCTTTTGTAAGAATATATACGTATATTTTTACTAATAAGGCTTTCTCTTTATGTTCGGTCCCCAGGAAGCAAGGAGCCACTGCTTCAGCAACGGGTACCGGCCACTTACTTGGCTTTAGAAGAATGTGTAGCATCATTGGCGGCCGAGCTACGCGAACCAGTTCTGAGACACGAAGAGTACCGAAGACTTGTGAGTAAGCTTTTTTAGGATTTCGGAAAAGAAGGAGGATCTAAGGAGTATTCTAATGTATGTTCTTTTTTGTAGTGAAAACTTCTTTAGAATCGTTGTCATTTGAAACTCGATGAAACGAAAAAGCGACACTAAAAAGAGACAAACATATAAATCTACAAGATTTAAATCTGCGAGAGAATGAGATAGAATACAGTATACAGTGGTTCCTATTATCTCGGTCCCCTTTTCTGAAGGTTTCACTTGTACCGAGGATAGGTGGCCACAGCATCAAAATACTTAAAATTTAATACTATTCTACACTATGTCTTAGCATAAACTTCTAAAGCTATTACGTGGAAATTATACTATTCTTTTTAATTCTCTGTAGTCGGCTTTTTTACTTTTCATTAAAAGCAATTGTTTTTTGTAAAATGAAGAGACAAACGAACTTACATACCAACTGATGGTAAGTGGCTACTGCAGTTCGTGGATACCTGAAGCCAACTTCAAATAAAGAAGCCTACAGATGTATGTACAATGTAAATGGTAATGTTATTGTTAAAGAAACTCCATAATGAAGGTTATAAAGAAAAATGATGTTAGATGACAGTCAACATTCAATAGAGCAGCAGATCATCTGTACGAGCTATTCGAACATTTTTATTGTTATTAAGTAAAAATACATAAGCGTTGTAATGCGGCGCCCTTTGCAAACGTAGGAAAATTGTATAAAATTTTTATAATTAAAAAAAATTGTTTATACAGTTTGTGTCCATTTAATACTCCATGGAATCAGTCGTTATTATTTTATTTATCAATTAAACTAAAAGTGTAGATAACTTCTACATTATCTTTGTTTCATTGTCTTGTGCTCACAAATGGGACTTTTATAGTGTTTTTACTAGGAATAGAATTCCTATTTTGGTCAGGAGTCCGGCTGAGTAGTCGCCAATAAGCAGTGTGTGCACTGTGTTCTTGTAGAGTATAGAGAGACAGTATAATTACAGGACAACTCATCTGTGACATTCAAAATGTACAGGTAGACTCGTGTTTGTCATTTTAATTTAATAATATAAATACGTAAATATAAAAATAATACGATTCCATTATGCAACTTGTTTTATTGGAGTATTACCTTTTTTTTTAAAACAACAATCTACCGACTTTCTCCTGTTATGTTGGCAGTTTGGGTAGTTTACATACATAAGGATAAAAATCCAGAGCCGGTACAATTATTTTTAGCCTATACAAATATTTGTTCCATGCTGGATTCGAAGTGCGCCACGGAGGCATCATAAAAATCCAACAAGTAAATCCACCCCCACAAATATTTTTTTAATAGAAGAAGGGGCGATACGAGACGCCTCTCGCCTGATGGTAATGGACCGCTCCCGCCTATGAACAACTGCAACACCAAAGGAATTGGAGATGCGTTGCCAGCCTTTTAAAAAAAAAAGCAGGCTCTTTACTGTTAAGCTCTAAATTGCTGATAGTAGTCAAAACAATGAAGTCGTACGAAGTGCTCGCAATGTAGTGGACCGCATGGTGTGGATGGTATCGAGAATTTTATCGCGATGTGCGATGGTGGAATTTGGCGGCTGGAATTAATCCGAGCAATTTTTTGAATAAATCTAATATATCGCTTTAATTTTAACTTGTTTTAATTACTGCTTCACATAATATCATTATGTGTGTGTTCTCAAAATTTACATGTATACTTACATTAAATGAAATAAAATAAATAAAACAAGGCAAATAAATCACGATAAAATCCGTAAAATTAGTTTTATTCAATGTCAAGTATTCGAGTAAATGTAAGAAATCATTATCCGACCAATACCTCTTAGAACTGATTATTATATTCTCACTATTTACTTTTGAAATTTTCAGGTAACCCAATATATGCAGCAGAAGAACCTAAGAACTTTCCGCGACGCTGCCGAGTTACATCAGGCCACCATGTTTCTGCACGAAAACGGTGAGTTTTATATTATTTATAAAGTTTGTATGAGTGAATATATCCTATTCAAGTTTTTTTAATAAAATAATGGTGTACACACACACACACACACACACACACACACACACATACACACACACACACACACACACAGACACATACACAGACACATACACAGACACATACACAGACACATACACAGACACTCACAGACACAGACACACAGTAAACACAGACACACACACACAGAGAGAGAGAGAGGAGAGAGAGAGAGAGAGAGAGAGAGAGAGAGAGACACACACACACACCCCGTCAGAGAGCAAGAGGGAGAGAAACTTTGGGGTCTTTCATATATTAGTCCTTAATGTATAGATCTATTTTTGAATATGGATGCTAATGTGAGGATTAAGTTAGAATGCCTCGTTTTCCAGTAAAAAAAGAGTCCCTGGTTCTCATCAGCACTAAGCTGCTAGTTAACAATAATAGTAGACTGTAAGAGCTTGGTCCTTGGAGTCGACTCATTCGTGCTACAATTATAATATAGCTGCAGCGTGGCTCCACCACGTATACACTTTATTTTGTTTGTGGTTCTGTGTACGCAGGCGTACTTCTGCACTACGACGACGCCACGCTGAAGGAGTTGTACTTCGTACGTCCGCAGTGGCTGTGCGACGTCCTCGCTCACGTTGTCACCGTACGCGAAGTCAACCCGTTCGCTACCAATGGTAAGTTGTCCTATCAATAGAATAGAAAATAGAATATAATCATTTGTATTCAGTACTATTAATAGAACGGATTAGTAAGCTGAAATGGCAATGGGCCGGCCATATAGCTCGAAAAACCGACAACCGTAGGGGAAAATAGGTTCTCGAGTGGCGGCCTCGTACCGGTAGGCGAAGTGTAGGGTGTCCCCCACTAGATGGAGTGACGACCTGGTAAGACATGCAGGAAGTCGATGGATGCAGGTGGCTCAGGACCTTGCTTTGTGGCATTCCTTGGGGGAGGCCTATATTCAGCAGTGGACTTGTGAAGGGCTGTAATGATGATGATAATGACTATTAATAGTACTACTAGTACTATGTAATAATTTGTATATATTTGTATAACAGCGCCACCTACCGGGTCCAATTGCTAAACCATCCAGGACGCACTCAAACACACACGAAAAATATCATCAAAATCGTTCGAGCCATTTTCGAGTTTTTGCGAAACTAACGGACAGCAATTGATTTTTGTATATAGAGACTAGCGATCGATTACCGCGTGGTGGAGGTGTAAAAATATACACTATCCCATATCGTCCCGTGAGTTTCGTAAGTGGTGAAAGAGGGAAACAAATCAGGAGATGGGCAGCAGCGTCTTTCTAATAACGACTAAAAATAAAAAATGAAAAATCAGTTGCCAACCCCCTTCACAAGTGTGGCAACTATGGCAGCTATAGGAAATATCCCCCCTATGAGGCAATCTATGGAGGAGGCCTATGTTCAGCAGTGGACTTTAATAGGCTGTAACGGTAACTGTAACTAGTGATCCGCCCCGCCTTCGCACGCGTGTTTTCTGGGTCTGGGCAACAGTGCCACCTACGGGATCCAATTGTGAATCCATTTTTTTATAGGATAGGGTGACAAACGAACACACAGCCCACCTGATGGTAAGTGGTTGCTGTGGCCCATAGACATCTACATCTATCTTCGACTACGAATCAAAATGCAGATGCGTTGTCACCCGTGAGGATTAAGATGGAATGGGTCATATGCACGAATGGGTCGGCTCGACCGGGGAAGGACCACGCTCTCACAGAATACCAGCGTAAAATAGCAGCTTAACACTGCTGACTTCCGTATGGTGAGTGTAGAGAACCGGCGACCCTTTTTACTGGAAAAGAGGCATTCTATCTTAGTCCTCACGGGTGACAACGCACCTGCATTTTAATTTTTTGTTGAGGATAGATGTGGATGTCTATGGGTCACTGCAACCACTTACCATCAGGTGGACTGTATGCTCGTTTGTCACCCTATCCTATAAAAAAAAAACTTGGAATAATTATAGATTCTACTCTTACATTTAAAAACCACATAGATCACCTCTGCAATAGAGTTCGTTCTTTTGTTGATATTAAGGTAATAAAGCAAGTATATTTCGCATTATGTCAATCAATTCTCACCTATTGTATAACCTCATGGGAAGGAGCAGCTAAAACTACACTGCTACCATTGGAACCTGCTCAAAGAGCTGTATTAAAAGTCGCAGCATTCCGCCCTATCCTATTCCTGTCCCGTCTCTTATATAAATCCTATAATGTCCTCTCAGTGTGCCAGTTATTCGTTATGAGGACGTTACTAAAACAGCACTTAAAATTGCCCTACAAAAGGGAGGTCACTGATAAAAGACTCAAAGATAAAGTCATTGCAACTAACATTAGAATAAGGTATTCTTTCATGTATAGATTTTTTACATTCCTTGGCCCTTTTCTGTATAATCAAGTCAATGCAATTTTATATATCCATTAAAAATGGCAGATTGTAAAAATGTAATTCGGACATGGTTACAAAATTTGTAATACGATGATACGGAAAAGTTGCTGATTGTTGTGAAGTTAATTAAAATCATAAGTAAATTAATGATAATATATATTACCGATATAACCCTAATTAGTAAGTATGTTATTCATTTTATATAAGAAACAGAAAATATTTGTAAATGTTTTTTTTAGCACATACACCTGAGATACAGGTTTATCCTAGTTCAGGTACCTGTTATTGTAGACTATTTTGGATTAAGTCATAATTTGAATTAATTCTACAGTTTCTTGAAATAAATAATAATAATTATTATATTGATTAAATTAAAAAACGAATAAATCGAAGCATTAAAAAAAATAATTATAAAACATTAGAGAACAAACCACTGCGGCATTGTTTTGAGTATTTTTAAAGTACACTAGAAACCTATATTTGTTTAAAACGCAACTTCTCAGTTAAATGACATGCGTAACAATAAACTTTAGTTCACTCCCAACAAGCGACATCTGGTGGGCGTAAAATTATAATCTCTCATAGAGCGTAACTTATCCCCCTCCTCCGCTGGGTGCAGGTATAATGAAGGTGGAGGATCTGGCGCACGTATTCAAGGCGTCCCCGCTGCTGGCGGCGAGCGAGGAAGCGCGGTCGCTGGGCGTGTCGCTGCTGAACAAGTTCGAGCTGGCGCTGTGCTGGGACGCGCGCGTGCTGCTGGTGCCGCCGCTGCTGCCGCCGCACGAGCCCGCGCACACACAGGTGGGCACCGGCAGGACTCAGTGGACGGAGATGGAAAGAAAGGTTCCAGTAACTCCAGTGGCGTGCTGGTGCCGTCCCGTGTGTACACAACCCAAAAGCACTGCCCACTACCGCGCTCTGACGGAATACTAGCGTGAAATAGCAGCTTAATGCTGCTGTATTTTGTTACCGGATACCCTTTTCTACTGGAAAAGAAGCATTCCATCTCAGTCCTTGGGGATAACAACGCATCAGCATTTTGATTGTTAATTGAGGATAGATGTAGATGTTTATGCACCACAGTATCCACTTACCATCAGATTGACTGTGTGCTCGTTTGTTTGTCATTTGTGTGTTAGGTTATTTTATATAAATAAGTTTAAGTTCAGTTTCATCAAAATCCATTCAGTAGTTTTTGCGTGATATAACCATTAACATACAAACATTCCAACATATTATAACAACTTTATTTTTTTTACTTATTATTAGCCAATGCGTGTGCAATTCCAGTTAGTGGCAAATGATGAATCCCGAGGTAATAAATAGCATTATCTTAGCGCAACATAAACCTATTCACTCTTGTCTTGAATAGACACCCACTTAATCGGATGGAAAGGCAGACGCCTGCAAATCCTACGTACTCCAGGTTCAAGGTACAAAGTATCACGTAACAGCTTTGGACTTAATGGAGAGGACTGCTAAAGGGCTTATTGGTGACCCGAATCTGGTTTAACCAATTTCACCATCCTCGAACACAGGCGTAATGAAGCCAGCCTTTCGGTTTTCCACAGGGTGCATTTCGGAGTGTGCGCAGAAATCAATAGGAAGCAGCGAAACACATCGAAGCCTAAATCGCGCTATCAAAGTTCCGAAATAAAAGCAGTATATATAGAATAGCTCCGAACTACTACCAGGAGCGTTGGCCGCTCTCCGGGCAGAACACCTAGCCCGGCGGGAGATTTGCCCCTTTCCTTTCCACGGTCACACATATCTTAATTCCTCCCTCTCCCTTCCATCATGGGATAACCAGACTTTCGGCCAATCTTCTACCCTTTGGGCACGCATTCGCATTCGAACCAAACGGTTTACTACGTCACTTTCGTCATGCGTTCTGCAAAGGAGTGGAATACGTTGTCAGCATATCTGTCTTTCCAGCCAATTACAATGTGGGTGTCTTCAAGGCAAGAGAGAATAGACTTCATCATCTTAGGCTACATCACCACTCACCATCAGGTAGAACTGTAGTCAAGCGTTGGCTGAGTATAGTAAAAAAATATCACGAAGTTTTTTTTTTATAGACTGTAACTTACCTTTTTTACTCTACAAGCATGGTTTGTCGCTTCCCATAGCTGGCGTTGAGATCGCGTCCATGGCCCGGGACTCCGCGTCACACCCGCAGCTCAACACTGGCGCCGTTGTCTTCAGATTCACCCACACTTATACGTGAGTCTCTTTTGCCACATTTTTATTAACTCGCTGTTGTGTATGTCTACTCTATTCGGGTTGAATTTAGTAATTGATTTAAAACTAGCTTCCCGAAGAGGTAAAGACTTCCAAGTTTTGAAGATAGCCCGGAATCGGATGATAATGTAAGAAAAAAAGTGCGGTACCTATACAAAAAAAAATCACAAAAACAGCTATTTTTAACATGGGGTTACCAATAACTTTTCAGTGTCTTTATTTATTGTGTTTATTCATATACAAGAGATCACAAAAATATATTTATTTTAGTATTATCTTGTCGTTGTTCTAACAGATTTCCATGGATAATAATTTATAACGTAAAGTCGTTACTGAGACAAAGAGACAGCGGCCGATGCGGGTGCTATTGTTATTATTTTTATATTATTTTATTTTGTTTTTATTATTAATTATAATATGATTATTAGATAGCATTATATTATTCCAATTATTTTAAAAATTTATGATGTTAAATTTTAATGTGTTTAATTTGATTCTTGTGTAGTGCCACTACACGAGAATCGTGACGTCAGAATATCCACTATCCCATATCGTTCCGTGGGTGTCGTAAGAAGCAAGAGAGGGAACTTGAAACAGGAGATGAGCAACATCTTCCTAATAATGATTTAAAATAATAAAATCTGCGATTGCCAAGCGTGGAAACTATGGCAAAATCCCCTCTATAAGGCAATCTATGGGAGAGGTTTATGTTTAGCAGTGGATTTTGATAGGCTGTGTGTGTATTATTATAATTTGTTTAAAGGGAGTATTACGCTACATGCGGTAGAAGTGAAACTGCCAGAAAAGGAGACCGATATAATAGCAAACATTGTGTACTGTATATTCTATATGTATATTGTATGTTCTATCTCATCCTCTCGTAGGCTGTGTGGCTAGCTACTTGTTTTTCTTGTATAAAACAGACGTAGCGACCGCCGTTAAGGGAGTTTTGGCTCTGGCGTGGCAGGATGCGCTGGTTATGTTCCGCTACTAGGTCATCCTTGACACCTTGGTTAGTTGTTTCTTGCTGGCGATTTTATTCTCACCTATATAGTTGGTCTTAGTACAATTTATGGTTAATTGGCTCTATTTTTGTCAATGTGATCTGTGTGCTTAATATTGTAAATTAATTTTATTTGGAGGGAAAAGTCCCGCTGGGTTTCTTGCTAGTTCTTCCCAGGACGGAGGTTTTGCCCGGGCCGGTGGTAGCGATACTATGTTAAATGAAAATGATTCTATTCTGTTTTGAAGCCTTTTCATGTGGCTATACATTATAATAATATCCTACACCAGTAGTGGTTTTAGAACTTTTCCATTGAAGTTCTATATTGTAATACCATTTTACATATTATATGTTTCTGCTTTTAGTGTCGCTTTTTCGTTTTATAAGAGTTTCAAATCACAACGATTCTAAAGAAGTTTTCACTACAAAATGTTAAAAAAAAACTGTGAGTGTAGGACTGTACGTCAGAAATGAAAGCTTCTTAGCTTTACAAATTTGTAAACATTATTTTTGGTTTGTTAAGATTTTTTTTTTAGTAAGTATTTTTTTAAATTGTTTTTATCAACCTATATATATGGTAATAAAAGTTTGAGTGTGAGTGACGATCACGCGAGTTCAGTGCTCGTTACCCATCCCAAAAGTGATCACTGTGCCTAAAGAAATTTTTACTTGTATAAATAGATGACAGTCCCGCGGCACAAGTGTCGGGACGTCGTGGTGGCGCCACGCTGCGGCGGCTGCTGCTGCTGTCGTACGTGCCGTGCGGCTTCTGGGCGCGGCTCTGCGCGCGCGTGCTCGCGGATGCTGCGCTCGCCTCCGCAGCACCGCGCCTCTACCGTCCGCCGGCAGAGGTGGGCCTGCTATATACCCCTATAGAACTCCCGCGAGGCAAGGTTTTCAACCCGGTGTGAAGCCAATGCTCCGTGTGTTAGTACAGGGCTGTTCTATATATAGCGCAGTACTTCAGTGCGTGCGCAGTAGTTTGTGCACGATGACAGCGCTGCTACAGCATTGTATTTAGAAGACATTTTGACTTTATGTCCTAAGATCACTAATTAACTTTGAAAGGAAAAGCAAAATTACAAAATGGCTAAAAGTTTTTGATTACAAAGGTACAGAGAGCCTAACTTCTTAATAACGCACGTAATCACACATCCCATATCCTAGTTTAAAGTGAATCGGTGCATGTAAAGTGTTTATCAATTAAAATTATTAAGATTATTATTAAACCTCCTCTTATAACACAAAGTGGACGCTGTGGCCCATAGACAACTACCACCCTCGATTAAGAATTAAAATGCAGATGCCTTGTCACCCTTGAGGACTAGAGCGGAATACCACGTTTCCAGTAAAAGGGGTCTCCGTTTCTCTACCTTAACCATACCGAAACACAGCAGTATTGAGCTGCTATTTTACGCTGGTATCCTATGAGAGCGTGATCCTACCCCAATCGAACCAATCCATTTCGTATACAACTTAATATATTATAGCTGCAGCATGTCTCTAATCACCTATTGCTTTGCGTTGGTTTTGGTTGGTTTTAAGACATGGAAGAAACCCGACGTGCTGCTTCAATATTGGTTTGGTAAATTTATTTCTTAATGGCTACTGCAGTTTATGAACACCTAAATTTATGAAAAATAAACTGTGAAAGACAAAAGAGCTGAAGATTATCGGTTAACCATCGTTATTATCATTCATTCCTACTCATGCTGCCTCGTTTTGAGGCGAAACACGTGTACATTAATAGTAGTTACCTAGAGTACACGCCATTTTATTTTTAACACGGATCTTCATCATCATCATCATTACAGCCCATCACAAGGCCATTGTCGAACATGGGCCCTCTCAAAAAAATACCACAAAGCACCATCCTGAATCCTTCCATCCTGTATCATTTACTAGATCCGTTACTCCACCTGAATGGGCCGGCCGCCCTAAACTTTGCGTACGAGGCTATCACTCGAGAATCTTTCTTCTTCATTGGTTGTCGGTTCTTGGAGCTATGTGTCTGGCCCCTCACTTCAGCCAATTAATCCGTTGAGATATATCGTAAGAGAAACTCTAAGTATAGTCTCCCGTCCATTAGCTCTCTGAGTGACTTTGTGCTTTTTCATACAGCTAGCATGAAGGAACACGTCTCAGATCGGATGTTTCAGAGGAAGAATGGCAAACCATTCTCCATCTTCTAGTTTAGATTAGTATAGAAATTTTAATGAAAGAAAGAACATATTTATTCATTACTGCAACTTAAAGGCCACCGACTCGGTGAAATGCTACAGTAACAGAGTTATCGCAACCCGTATATTCTGACAGAGCTACACATGTCGACTCTGAAACGATCGCTGGACATATTATCTATCATTGAGCTATTATGTACTACGTACTAGAGGCGACACTACATTAAGTTATGTTGTGCCATTCAACTGCGGTGATAGTGCTGCACTTTACTCAGTCGCTCGCTAGGCGCTAGTGAGTTGACACATGTTATGTTGATTATATAAAAAAAGAACTTGATAAAATACGTCATGGCGTGTTTTAGATATTGCACAAATAATTCAAGAAATGTTAATATTGTTGAGTAAAATACTTAATAAAAAAGTATTATAGAATAATAATCAAACAAATTATTCATAAGACGCCATCGCGGGTCATGAAATATAGATTATGAAATTAATTTGTTCAGATGCGACGTTACTGTATGTACTTAAGTGTGAGAATAATTGTGCATAATATAATATGTTTTTTTTTTGTAGAAACAAATGTAGAGTATTCATAATTAGGCTAAATTTCTGATATTTAAATTTGTTGATTATTCTTTTATTTTATTTTTAGGTTTCCACGTCCAAGCTATGAAAAGATAGAAAATGGAATAAATTCATCCATTTATAATCTCGCGTGCCCAGCATTTATGAATGACTCTTAGAATCAAAATAAATATATTTGTAAATTATATGTCATATCAATAAGTTTTGTTACACATACATTTAGTATGTTGTTCTTTTTATATTTTATATAGTTACCTTTTAAAATATTCAAATAAAAATACCATGCGATAACGTTTATTATATTATTATATAACATTGTTGGGGTTTTAGTTTTATTTTCTGATTAGATGACGAATGAATTTTTTGTAATGTTCAGTATATTTACGGGACTTAAGAGAGGTGGAACCCTCGGCGCGCAAGTCACACTCAGCTGTGACGCCGGGAACACACCGCTGACCATCCCGCGATGTGAGTGCTCCATGCCGGACGTGCGGCTTACACAGCGCTCGGTTCGCAAAGCACTCTTCTCACTGGACGTCAGCAAGTCGAGTAGGCCCGACGGAGTCCCTCCCGTTGTGCTGAAGACGTGTGCTCCGGAGTTGGCACCGGTTTTAACGCGTCTTTTCCGGTACTCCTACTCCCAAGGCGTAGTCCCGAATTCATGGAAGATAGCTTTGGTCCACCCGATCCCTAAAAAAGGCGACCGCTCAGACCCGTCCAACTACAGGCCTATTGCCATCACCTCCTTGTTCTCCAAAATAATGGAATCCATTATAAACTGCCAGCTCATGAGGTACCTTGAGGATCATCAGCTGATTAGTGACCGCCAGTACGGTTTTCGTCGAGGTCGATCAGCTGGTGATCTTCTATACTATCTGACTCATAGATGGGCGGAGGCAGTAGAGTCCAAGGGGGAGGCATTGGCCGTTAGTTTGGACATAGCGAAGGCCTTCGATCGGGTCTGGCACAAAGCGCTTCTTTTGAAGCTTCCTTCCTATGGGCTTCCCGAGAAATTGTGCAAATGGATCACCAGTTTCCTTGCTGATCGGAGCATCAAGGTCGTAGTAGACGGTGCATGCTCTGATTTCAAGCCTATCAACGCTGGTGTTCCACAAGGCTGCGTGCTATCACCAACGCTGTTTCTCCTGCATATCAATGATATGTTGCTAACTGGTAGCATTCATTGCTATGCAGACGACAGCACTGGTGATGCCTTATATACCGGCCGTGCCAATATTTCTCGGGAAAACGTCGCTGAGTACCGGGACAAACTTGTGTCTGAAGTCGAGTCTTTGCTTAACAAAGTCTCCGATTGGGGCCGACTAAATCTAGTCCAGTTCAATCCCCAGAAGACACAAGTTTGCGCGTTTACAGCTAAAAAAATCCCTTTGTCGTATCTCCTCAGTTTCAAGGCACTCCCCTTCTTACTTCAGCCAGTATCGGAATCCTCGGCGTCGATACATCGAATGACTTGCAGTTTCGTGGTCACTTGGAAGAGAAGGCCTAATTGACCTCTAAAAAGCTTGGCGTGCTCAGTAGAGCGGGACAGTATTTCATACCGGCCCAACGCCAGCAACTTTACAAGGCGCAGGTTCCGCCTCACAGTATTCCGTTCCCATCTCTGGGCCGAGGCACCCCAGTGCCAGCTCCTTCCACTTGACCGCATCCAGCGCATAGCGGTTCGAATCGTCGACGACCGAGTTCTTTCTGATCGGCTCGATACACTGGCACTGCGTAGAGATGTTGCATCTCATTGCGTATTTTATCGCATCTAGCACGGGGAGTGCTCTGAGGAATTTTTCGGACTAATTCCAGCCGCTCAATTTCACCATCGCAGATCGCGACAAAACTCGCGTTACCATCCATACCATCTGGATAATTGGCGGTCCACCGCTGTGCGATTTAGAAGAAGTTTTCTCCCTCGCAGAACTTCCTTGTGGAATCAATTAACACCACCGAATTTTCCGGACCGATACGACTTAGGAACCTTCAAGAAAAGAGCTTACACCTTTCTAAAAGGCCGGCAACGCATCTGCAATTCCTCTGGTGTTGCAGTTGTTCATGGGCGGCGGTAGTCACTTACTATCAGGTGAGCCGCATGCTCGTTTGTCCCTCTTCTATAAAAACAATTCACAACGTTTTTGCCGACCGAGCAAGTCTTACGAATGTGAGTGTGCGAAGTAAAATAGTAGGCATAAGATATTTAAAAGTTAAAATAATGCATACTATAGGACAGATGTTTGAGATTTATTTTAATTAATTTTTCCTCACCATTCGCCTATTTTACTTATTCTGAACCCTCTCTGCGAAATCAACCTGTATAATGTACTTTTACGAAAGATACTATTTCATGAAAATCACAGATGGAGGTAGACGAAGTAGTCTCCAAAGCGCTGGACCTGAACTGGGGCTGGAAGCTCTGGAAAACGGGAATGAAGCTAGTGTGCGGGGAACTCACCTTGTTGGCGTTGAGAGAGCTACCGCCGAGGTTCGACCCACTGCTGGGCGCGGTGGGAGATGAGGAGGAACACGACGAACTTTATCATAGTGTCAGGTGAGCGACTGAAATTTAATTTAACTATTAATACAATAAGTTGATTCTATAAAGTAAAACATTTTATATATAATAACTAGCTGGCCAGGCAGACGTTGTTCCGCCCTACCCGACGACCCTTCATATAAAAATTCTTAAATACGTAATAAAAATATTGGGTGTCACTTATCAGGATAAAAACTATCCTATCTATCAAGTTGGACCAAAATGCACACAGTGTGCAAAATTTCATTGCAATCAGTTAAGTAGTTTAGGAGTTCATCGCGTGAAACAACAAACAAACAAACAACGTGACACGTAATTTTATATATTAAGATAATGTCCTCCAAACCAAATTTCGGTCACGGCGGCCAGTCTCAACGGAGACTAGCCATCTGTGCAAGATAGGATTGTAGTGCCCAACTGTATGCGCAAGTACAGGTGCACTCTCTATTGCCTCACTCTCATAGTACGATGGGACGGTGATCCTACACGACCGGAGGGAAATCAGGCGCAGTATATATGATATATTTAAAAAAAGTTTTCGTATGTGCGAAGGAATCCATCGAAAAGATCGCAAGCAAACATACTTTGCTTTTTTTTATATAGAATGAGGGTGACAAACGAGCACACAGTCCAACTGATGGTAAGTGGTCGCTGTGGCCCATAGACATCTACATCTATCTTCGTTTGCGAATTAAAATGCAGATGCGTTGTCAGCCGTGAGGACTAAGATAAAATGTCTCTTTTCCAGTAAAAGGGATTTCCGGTTCTCTACACTCATCATACGAAACACAGCAGCATTAAGCTGCTATTTTACGCTGGTATTCTGTGAGAGCGTGGTCCTTCCCCGGTCGAGCCGACCCATTCGTGCTTCAACTATACCAATAATATAGCTGCAGCATGGCTCTACCACGTATAAAACATATATAATAACATTATATATGTTTTATACGTGGTTTTATATTACGTAATAACATTGTTTACAAAATTTCTTTGTAAATAATGTTATTCGTTGCTTCGTTTGTAGCTAAAATATATAAATTACCTATCTGGGTTAGTAACGCGAGAGCAAGCGACGTACCGTGTGAAAACACCGTATAAAATCTTTGTTTCTTAAAACTTTAATAACTTTATATTAAATAAATGAAGATGTCGCAATATTTTTTTTAGATAAGGGTATAACCTAATTGAAATCCATCCAGCAGTTTTTGTGATGCACGCACAACTGCAAACCTTTATCATTTTATTTATATAGATAAGTAATACATAAATAATTTAAGGCTGCAGATATCTACGAGAGCTCCCGTGACGAAGATGCAACGCCACGGGCTTTCACCATTACCATTACAGCCAATCAAAAGTCCAAAATTTCACCTCTCAGTGGGCCATGTGCTCCTGGTAAATTGTCTTCTATACATCCATCCACTACAGCCTATTAAAGTCTACTGCTGAACATAGGCCTACCCCATATATTGCCTCATAGGGGGGATATTTGTCATAGTTGTAATGTTACTGTTGATTTAAAAATTTTACCTCTCAGTGGGTCATGTTCTCCTGGTAGATTATCTTCTTAAAATCCACTGCTGAACATAGGCCTCCCGTAGGGAGATATATGCCATATTTGCCACGCTTGTCAGCTGTTATTAGTGAGATGCCGCTGCCCATATCCGCGTTTAGCTTCGCTTTGTCACCTCTTATGAAACCCACAGGATGATATGGTATAGTGGGGTAATTGCGGTATAAAAATATCCACTACCTCATGGGGATTTGGTCGAATTCGATATAATCTACCCCGTGGTATGCCATACTATGGTATACTATGCTAAATTTATCATCCTCGTCATCAGCCTCCGACAGGCCACTGCTAGACGTAGACCTCTCTCAAGGCGCGCCACTCAACACGATCTTCGGCTCCACGCATCCAGTTGCTGCCGCCAGCCTTGCACAAATCATCGCTTATGCTAAAATAGATACCCTTAATTAAGAAGTAATTAAAGTAGTCTCGGGCTTGTATCTTCGAATTATATTAATTCACACCAGTTATGACAGTCGGAAGCGAATTAAATGTCGACAGAGCACTAGGCTGTGTCGGCGCCCCTCTGGTGGCCATATATTATAAAATATAACAGTTTATTTTGCAAATTTTTAAAATAATTTTGCAAAATAATTAGAACTCGTAACAGGTGGGTGTGAATGGAAAATGTGATGAAAAAGTAAGGGTAATGTCGGAGAAAGCATTTTCAAAGTATTCTATTTATAAATTCCTTATTGTATGTAAGTAGGTACTTACTTAATATTTTTATCATTTGAAAACTGACGCGGGCGCTCCATTTTTAACCTTGCGCCCTTAGACACGTGTCTAGTTTGACTTAAGGGTAATCCGCCACTGAGGGCAGTATCCATTAGCTTCGACCGTCTTATTTCCCATAGATTCCGTGTGAGGCAAGAGGGTGTATGGTGTGAACTAGACGTCCAGTCCTCGGCCTGCGTTGAGATCCTGCTTCCTGGGCAAGTGTGTGTGCTGAGACGGGACGACGGACTTCCTATGGGAGGGTATCAGGTGGGGTTAAAATTATTTTGTCAAATCACTCAATTCAACTCAAATCAATTGCTAAATCCGCCCCGGCTTCGCACGGGTGATTTTTGGACTTTGACAACAGCGCGAACAACCGGGCCCAACTATAGCTGAGAATCATCCAAGTGACCTAATAAGTATCCCTTAAAAATCATCGAAATCGGCCAAGCCGTTTCGGAGCAGAACAAGACTTAGATGGAATGCCTTGTTTCCAGTAAAAGAGGTCTCCGGTTCTCTACACTCACTGTACGAAGCACAGGAGCATTAAGTTGCCATTTCATGCTGGTATTCTGTGAGAGCGTAGTCTTTCTCCGGTCAAACTTACCCCTTCCTGATGCAACCACATATACCACAATCATAAATATAGGCATCACATTGCGGCAGCGTAGCTTCACCACGCATAAAACCCACAATGAGAACTCTCTTTGTCAAGATATACCATTAAATACCATACCAAAAATGGTACCCGTAGAAAATCCAACCATCACAGCCATTACAGTCCTATCCTATGCTGAACATAGGCCTCCCCCATTTATTGCCTCATAGGGGCATATTGCCATAGTTGCCACGCCTAACGGTCGGGTAGGCAACCGAGACGCTGCTGCCCATCGCCTGATTTATTTCGCTCTGTCGCCTCCTACGACATCCACGAAATGTATTGTATTGTTTTTTTATTATGGATTTCTTTATTTAGACCTCTTATCACCCTTTTATAAAAAAAAACCTAGATATGTACAAATTGTACATAAAAAAATCCTAATAGAACCATTTATTAATTTTCAAAGAGCATCAGTCTGGAACCGAACCCGGAGATCCTTGCCAAAGTGCTGGCGTTAATATCTGACCACGTCGACCTACTGCTGGAGGACTGGTACCCATCGCTGGGTAAGTAACACGGTTGAAGTGATATTTGTAAGATTTTGATTTCAGAGTTGAGGAAACGCCTTTTTGTAACTTACATTTCTTAACATCAGACCGTCAAAGCCCACTGCTGGATACGTGCTTGTTTCTAATGAGGAATAGTAATCTTACGTTCACCAGGTGTCGCTAGTTGGGGCTAACGGGAACTTGTTTCGTTTTTTATTATAAGTTTTTCGTTTTTGGAACGAAGTTCCTTAGCGGACGGTACGGGTTTGGCGGATGGGAGCTAGGCGACAAAATTTTTTCGTCACTACCCCTTGTGTCATAGTGTGTTTTATTTTAAATGACGCTTCAATTTAATAGACGCTAGTAATACATTTATTTGTATTTCTTAATCAATAATATAATACATTTATCAATAATAAGGAACTTCGTTCCAACCGAGTATTCCACGACACTCACGCATGTTTTTTTCTTTCTTCATATTACAAATTTTATCTTTTTTTTTTTAAATAATTCTGCCACTTTTAGGTATATCCATAGTTTGGTTTATATATTTCTAATCTAGTTAATATAAAATATAACTAATAGAGCCGTGGTAGCTCAGGTGGTTAGCTCTCGCTGTAAGTTTCACGGTACTTGGGCAACCCGGGTTCGATCCCCGCCGGCACCAATGAAATTATTGTTGATTGCAATTTCAAGTGCTTATTTACCACGTGCTCAGCGATGAAGGAAAACATCGTGAGGAAACCTGCATGTCTGGGAAATAACAAAAAAATATTTCGATGACGTGAAGTTCGCCCATACGCATTGGGGAGGCGCGGACGTTTTCGTTGGCCCTAAAACCCTCTCAGAAATAAGAGGAGGCCTGGGTCCAGCAGTGGGACGTATATAGACTGTAACTTTAACTTTTATAACTAATATTTCTGAAAGATACATTAATCTACACTTTTCTGACAAATCAACTTCTCCCGCCATGAAATCTATCAAATGTTTCACGTCATCCTAAGTTGCGCCGCTCTGATGGCAGAACAAGTCGTGGATGCCCTCATTGGCGGCTCCGTGGCGCAGTGGCTTAGCAATGAGTTGCTGCGCTGGGGGCCGCGGGTTCGAATCGAGTATTTGTATGGCCTACAAATAATTCTTCCTGGTCTGGATGTTTGTCCTTGTGCAATTTATGTATGTAAACTGCCTCCGCGATACAGGAGAAAATCCTAGTGTGGAGATAACGTTTTTCAACAAAAAGATTTAAAGAAAAGATTGGATGGCCATAATCGCCATGCTTTAGGTTGGCGATTGTAAACCCAATACTAGTATTGTAAACTTTGATTTACTTGCATAATGCTTTAGTTGTAACACGAATGGGTCGGCTTGACCGGGGAAGGACCACGCTCTCGCAGAATACGAGCGTAAAATAGCAGCTTAACACTGCTGTGTTTCGTATGGTGAGTGTAGAGAATCGGTGACGCTTTAACCGGAAAAGAGGCATTCCATTTTAGTCCTCACAGGTGACAACGCATTTGCATTTTGATTCTTTATTGAGGATAGATGTAGATGTGTATGTGTCACAGCAACCACTTACCATCAGGTGGACTGTATGTTTGTTTGTCACCATATCCTATAAAAAACTAAATAAGTGAATGTACATGTCTACACCCCCCCCCCCCCCCCCTTATAGGTACCCGCTTCGTGCACACATCTGAGGGGCGGTGCCTGATCACTCGTGCGGTTCCCTGCCCAAACTGCGTACGGGAGCCGCACCACGAGCCCCACCCGGAACCGCTGCAGCAAGACCACCACCTAGCACAGGTAATGCTTTCTTACGAAGTGTGTAACACATGAACAGGGTCGTAGCTACCGCCGTATCAGCCATATTAATGATACGGGGTCCCCGGGCTACAGAGGCCCGAACGTGTGTATAAAGTGTATAAGCAAAAATTCTAAGGATTTCTTTTAGACAGGAATGGCTAGAGGCAGAAAAATTAGAAAAACTGAAATCGTCTTCAGCTATCAATGAAAATAAATAAGTTCGCCGAACAAAATGCAAGAATAGTTTGGAAAATCCAAAACTGCACGACTTATGAGCGTTTCATTTAATTTTCATAAAAAATTAATTATATTCCCGACTTTTAAAATATATTATTTACGTGTTTTAAATTTAGCGCTCTATTATTTTAACAGGTAGTATCACCTACAGGGAAAATAATTAATAATGTTTACCAAAAGAAATTGATTACACAAACTATAAAATCGATATAGGCTGTATGGTTTTGTCACATTGTGACATTTGTCTATCAAGGGCTAAAAAAATATGAAAGCGCCTATAAATTTTCAATAGCAATAAAACTTATAAACTTGAAAATCGTTTTATTAAAAAACTACGCGTACTAGGCTATTGATATGAAATAGAGAAACAGTTGATGTAATTCTGAAGCTAATAAAAAACCCGCTCTCTATATTACGTCAATTTTTTCGAGTTATCGTGACCAAATACAAAATCGCCACGTAACGACGACGAACACGACGCCCACGTAAAATTTTTATCATACCTTTTTTTTTCAAAGTAGCAATATAAAATAGCAATAACATAAGATGGATTAATTCTAGTGTTTTCTTGAGATACGGCTACTCATATTATCGTATATGCATTATTCTGTAGTATAAGTGCAATATGGTTATGATAGAGGTGCGCTAGCACTTATTTGTTTGTGGATAGAGGCATTTTAAGAACACAAAATCGCTTGACCTTGACATGTTGAGAGTAAAGCAATACCTATTACGTTATTAGGTAGTGATTTACACTACCTAATAACACTTGGCGTTATGAGGCGTGCAAAAGTGTTTATTTGATTTGAATTTTTTGGCTAGTTTAGTTCCTAGGAGTATTAATTGTAAGTAATAGCTTATAATCAATATTTAATTATTTAATTCAATGCGAGGGTTTTTTTCCCTTTGGGGAAAATCTTTATTCTTCATTTGTGCCCCCCCCCCCCCAATAAATTTTGATACAGGGCCAGTCAAAGGCACGCTACGCCACCGCACATGACATAAAACTAATCTTACGGATTTTATCGCAATTAATTTTTCCCCAACCTGGTAAACGTGGTAAAACCACGCTGCAACTATATTAGTTGTAGCACAAATGGAGCCGGGAAGGACCACGCTCTCACAGAATACCAGCATGAAATAGCAACTTAATGATGATGTAATGATTTCTTATGTTTATGCGAACACTACACATTTAAATGATACGAAATTGTACGGATTTTAACGCGAATATTAACTTATTTTAAATTTCCGACCCATGGTGGGGTGTGGTGGGGGTGGGGGTGTGGGAGATATGTACCAGGAGTTTACAAGCTTGATTGTGAATGTGGCCACTCTTATATAGAACAAACTAAAAGACCTATTAAAACCCGCGTGAAAGAACATATAGCTGATGTGAAGAATCGACGCTCCGTGAAGTCTGCAGTCTGTGTACACGTACAGTGTCGCCCCCGTCACTGCATTAGATTTGATAGACCACAAATTCTCGCTAAGGAACACCGATTGCTTCCAAGGATGATTCACAAGTCTATTGAAATCAAAAAAACATCCTAATTTAAATAGCCGTGACACATTATAATGTAATTTAAATTTTATTGTTTTAATAATTAATTAAATGTAGAGTCACAGGAAAAGATTTTAGAATCCTTATTTATCCAGTTAACTATTTACTTAAATTAAATAAGTGAGTTATGGGAAAGGTGCAATAATAAAATAAAATATAAATTAAATAAAAAAATAAAAATTAAAATCAATCAGATCTTGTTTATCTACGAGTACACAGGTAAATCTCGCGACCAATTTTAATATCATATAAATTGCGTGATGACGTTAGAAGTTGATAGTAAAAGTTTCAAAGGAAAAGTTTATCCTTTTTAGCGCATTTAATTAAAAGCTTGTTTTTAAAAAAGTTTTTTTTACTTTTAATTTATTTTTGCTTTTTAGTTATCGCTGGACAGGTTTCTCAGTCTGTTCATCTCATTCAACGCATCATTGTAGCAAGGTCGTTTGTTTTACTTACTTAAGGCCACGTATGCTTGACCAGCAGCGAAGAGCTTCGAGCCTAAGTATACAAAGGCATGGTTGAAAATACTACCCTGCATTTTGTGTACTGTGCAAGCCCAACATAATATAATTGGCAGCATTCTTCGTTCTGCAGTGCCGTGACTAATGAAAACTGAAAATGAAATGAACACCGCCTTTACTGAAGTCTATACCGACGGGATGGTATGTCAGCATCATACATTTATGCTCACCGGAAGCAGGGGCATATAATTTCTGTAATAAGTCCAATGGCACCATTCACCAGACCTTTGGACAGTCAAAGTTTACCAACCGATGTTGCAGACTCGTACATTCGACCTCAATATCATATTCAAGGACTCCAAAAACCCCAGTTCGCAAAAATTTCAGACGCATTGACCTCATGTTACATCCTGATGCCACTCAGTCTTCGGCACGACCTCACCTTGACTTGGGTGTTTGGAGGAATGCACCACTTATTTCAGCTTGAAGCTTACTTGTGCCTTACGATACACATTTCCGGGTTTGATTTTGGAGTTATCCGTCACCTAGACAAACCAATGCTGTTGACGCCTATCTCGCCAAATTACACAAGTCAAAGTTAACCAACCAATGCTACAGATTCGAACAATTCGTCCTCAATATCATTATCGAGGATTTTCATTTAATGAATTTTGATACCCATATTGTAGGAAAGCATAAAAAACTTAGTCCGCCATCTTTAGAAGTCCGCCATATTAGATTTAGATTGACGTCAATTTATTTTTCGTGTTAAATTCAGCAAGCCCTTTCATTTGATACCCATATTGTAGGAGTGTATTAAAATAACTAGTCCGCCATCTTGGGTGCCATCACGAACTCAATGATTGCCAGCGCAAAGTACGCGTCGAGACGTGCCTGGCACTGCTCAACAGGCACACAAACGAAAAAAATTTGACCCGAAATGTTACCTGCGACGAAAAATGGATTCTGTATGACAATTGCTCAACAAGTTGGTTGGACATCACCTAAACAATGCCCTAAACGAAAATTTACCCCCTAGAAAAGTAATGGTCACGGTTTGGTGGACTAGCGCCGGTGTAATTCATCACAGCTTCTTACCAAACGGGATGGGCATTACCGCAGATGTGTACTATGAAGAACTGAACACAATGATGGAGAAGCTCGCACGTCTCCAACCAGCTTTGGTTAATAGCTCGACCCCGCTGCCCCTACACGTGAACGCGCGACCTCATACTGAACTGCACATCAGGCGGTCTCTAAGTTACAAGAGCTGGGGTTGGAAGCTCTCCTCACCAGACATACGCCGTACTCACCAGATCTTGCACCTACAGACTTCTACTTTTTCCAGAAGTTGGATAACTTTTTGGCAGGAAAAAAATTCAATACCCGAGAGGCAGTACAAAATGCCTTTGAAGAATTTGTTGCCCCCGTCCAACTGATTTCTTCAAGAAGAGCGTCAATAAACTGCCACTGCGTTGGCAAAGGTACATCGATTGCATGGGTCATTATTTTGATAATTAGAAATAAAAAATATAGAAAACAAATTACGTTAAATTACTTCATAAGAAAACACACACGCAAGCACGCATGCACACTGTACACGCTCGAACTGTCACTCATGTACACACACACGCACATTCACACACGCAAGCACGCACACTCAAATACAACTATCACACTCAACCATACACACATCATTTTCACATCGTCTCGTGGGTGTCGTAAGAAGCGATAGCGGGAAAATGAAACTTGATTAAAAGAGCAAAGGTAAAGAGCGGGCTTAATGTCAGTTTATATTCTCTGCCAGTAAACTCATGATGTGGTGAAAATTTAGCGGACTGGCATGCCCCCCCCCCCCCTCCTCCCATGAGGCAATCTATAGCGCAGGCTTATTTCAGCAGTGAACTTTAATAGGCTGTAACGGTAATAATAGTAATAAATCTTGTTGATGCTCAAAATCTAAAATAATTTTCATAGATGCTCAGGCGTTTGGATCTTGGCAACGCAGAGCCGCGTCCTTTGCGACTGTCCGAGGAGTCGCGTACATCGGACGGTGACAGCGGCGTGGGCGCTGAATCTAACGGTGAGTGTACGAACTCGTCGAGTACGTTTACTTACTATAATACCTGAATAGGAATATGATCTCTTTTTAATAATAAAATGCAGTAATTTGCTCAATCGACCTTTACTTGATCTCTAATTTTTACAACGACGAAAAGTACAACATTTTTTTAAACATAGCTACATACGCAGCCTACGAACTAATATTGGCATTGAGAACTGCTAATATAATTTGCCAATATAATTTGCCTTCAACATGCCCCCCGGCGTTGAAAGTCTACCTTTCAACCAGATGGTTCAGGAAGCGGACAAATTTTTCTAAATGATCAGCGAACTATACCAGTCGATGTTTTAATATCCGCCACCCTTGATACGCCGTCTGAGCCTGGATGGACTGCGACGATGCGACCCATCTTCCACTTTAATGGTGGTGAATTCTCCTCTTTTAGTAGTACCAGTGAATCTAACTTCAAAGAGTCTTTACAGGAACGCCATTTCATCCGCAGTTGGAGCTCTGATATATATTGCTTGCTCCATCTAGTCCAAAAATGTTGACGTAATTGTTCTATTCGTTGAAATCGGGTTAAAGAGCTTACGGAATGATCTTTATAGTCTGGTGTCGGCAAGGAAGTCAAGGGGCGTCCAATCAAAAAATGACCGGGCGTTAGTGGTAGCAAGTCTTCAGGATTCGTTGATAAAGGTGTGAGTGGTTTGGAGTTAAGTATAGCCTCAATTTGTATTAATGTGGCATTTAATTCCTCGTAAGTCAAATTACAAATGCCCAGCACTGTAAGTAAATAATATTTAATGCATTTGACACCAGCCTCCGCAAGCCCAGCAAAATGGGGAGAATAAGTCGGTATAAAGTGGAAATTAATTCCTTCATTTGCCATTACCTCAGATAAAGAATTACAATTCGTCTTAGTAAATTTTGAAACGTCATTGTATGCGCCTACAAAGGAGGTACCATTATCCGAATAAATATTGAGAGGTTTCCCTCTTCTTGACATAAATCTGCGCATAGCTAATATGAAGGTATTGCTAGTTAAATCACCCACTAATTCAAGATGAATTGACTTTGTCGCGAAGCAAATAAAAATGTACACCTTTACAATTTTACAACTACGGACATGGCGAGAAACAGATTGAATTGGTCCCGCATAGTCTAGTCCAATATTTTGAAACGGAAAACCAGAAAGGATGCGTTGCTGTGGTAGGTTGCCCATTATTGGAGAGATGGTTTTTCTTTTCATTCTGTTACATCTTACACATTGTTGATAACTAGATCTGGCCAAATTACGACCTCTAATGGGCCAGTACATCTCTTATAGTGGCCAACATTAGCTGTGGTCCCGCGTGCATTCACCTTATGTGCTCATAATTGAAGAGCAATTTGGTTAAGTAATGGGTGGCCTGTATAAGTATGGGATGTTTTTTCGCATAACAGTAATCGGAATTTTCAAGACGCCCTCCAACACGCGTTATTTTATTATCACCGAGAAATACATTAAATTTATGCAAGGAACTTTTAATGGGTAAGCTTTTATTTTTAACTAGCTGTTCCCAGCGACTTCGCCCGCGCGTAATCTATTACGATTGTATTTCATGGGTTTTAATTTTTTTGAGCGGAGCCCTAATTCTTTTTCTAAAATAAAAGTAGCCTTAGCCGGAACAAACAGACAGACAGACAGACAAAAATTCTAAAAATGTCTTTTTTGTTATAAGTACTGCATATACTATACTACTATATACTGTATATATATGCATACGTATAGTAAAAAACTGTTATTTCGACATTACAAACAGACACTTCAATTTTGTTTATTTGTATAGATTAACATGGTGTACTCCTCAAATGATTCACTCTGAGACATTCTTATAATAAGATTGAGTGCGGTTTGCAGCTCTTGATTGCTGAGAGGACCGTGAACGCATTGCTTTCTACAATTATTAATAAAACGCAGCACATAAGCAACGGCTCGATTTAATCTAGTATATTTAGAAAAGCTTTTAAACGCTTCAATTAATTTATTACCGACTAACTTTATTGTTGCTAGAATGAAGTATTCCATGGAGGATAACAATTGACGATTTAATAGAACAGAACAGAAACAGAAACTTTTTTATTCAATATAGATTATAAATAATACTTATTGAAAGTCACTCTTTTGTATAATTACCACTAGTTCGGAAAAAAAACCTCTGTTCTGGGAAGAACCAGCAAGAAACCCAGCGAGACTTTTTTTTTAAAATAACAGATTGCAATCATGTATGTTGCACAAATTAACAACACAACAAATTAGAAATAGCTTGGTAGCGATCACCTCATTTCCAGGGGTTCTCATTTCAGGCAACTTGTGATTAATATTTAAGAAATTTGCAGGCAAGTGAGAGACCTCGTTCTTTAAAAATTCAGGCCCTGACCACCACTTACTCATAGATAAAATATCCTTACAACTCACACTGCGAGAAATATGATCGGCCGGATTACACTCCATTGGAACATGCCTTCACTCGCAATTTCTGGTCTTCTCTAATATTTCGGCAATCCTATTTCTAACAAAGGGTTGTAGCTTGCTAGGTAACACCTTTAACCATCCTAACACGATGGACGAATCTGTCCAAAAGAAAGTGCGCTTAGCTTGTTGTCTCAACGATGCTACAACCTTTCGGTAAAGGCGAGCTCCAACAAGTGCACCACAAAGTAGCAGTCTTGGGATTGTTATAGGTTTAAGCGGCGCGACACGACTCTTCGCCATCAATAATTGTATTAAAACCTCACCCTGATCATTAACACTACGCATATATATATAAACAGGCGCCATATGCACGCCCAGAAGCGTCCGAGAAAATATGAAATTCAAACAAACTAGGTGAGTCACATATAACACGACGTGGAATACGTAGAGTAATTTAGGTAAATTGACTATGATCTTAGCCCACATCTTGCTGATTTCTGGCGTCAACTGCTCATCCCACGACAGCTTGAGCAGCCACAACTGTTGAAGAAGCATCTTCATCTTAATTACACAGGGAGATAGAAGTCCTAGTGGATCAAAAATCTGAGAAATGACTGATAACATATCACGCTTTGTTTTACCTGAGAAGAGCCCTCCCATAGGGAAACAAAGTTGTTCAGTATGTGATTGCCAACCAAGACCTAAAATTTTACTCGGTTCAAAGTCACCAATGTTTAAATTAAGCGGAGAAATATCATTTTCACTAACCAGTTGAGATTCATTCGACTTCCACTTTCGCAAAACCATATGATCTGATGCAAGTGTGGAAGTCACTTTACGGCGCAAATCTGTAACCTCGTTAATCCTCTCCCGTTAGCAAGTCATCAACGTAAAAATCGTGAATGATCACTTGAGCAACCTTGTCATCAGTACACTCTAAGCCTAATTGCTGGAGGGTTGATAACCTTGAAGCTGTTCTGAAGGGTTATCACGCTAGACTATTTGTTGCAAATAGCGGTCATCGGGATGAATGACTATTTGCCGGTATATTTTCTCAACATCAGCTGTGAGAACGTATTTGTGTAGCCGAAAGCGTAAAAGAATGGACAAAAGGTCGTCATGTACCACGGGACCTACCATCTGTATATTATTCAAAGAAACATCAGAAGAAGTCGGACTGCTAGCATTGAAAACGACTCTTAATTTAGTAGTAGTGGTACTTTCACGCAGCACACCGTGATGTGGTATAAAATGCATCTTACGTGGTAAATTATTATTCTCAGATTTCTCAATATGACCCAGACTTTCATATTCTGACATAAATTCTTTATACATAGAATATCTCATAGAACTGAGACTGAGCTGCTAACCTACGCTCTAGCGATACTAAACACTTCTTAGCTCGTGGCCAAGAATCACCTAATACGTCAGGATTATGTATTAAGGGTATCCTCACGCAAAATCAACCATTTGCCAGTCGCGTGGTGTTTTTTAAATAGTGTTCTTCGCATAATTTTTCTTCCTTTGAATAATTATATAATAAGCCCTGCGCTTACCTCTTCGAGGTGCCAGAAGCGTACTAACTGTTTTTGTATATCGTCATCTAAATCTTTATTAGCCTCATCTTGAAAGATTTTTGTAAAATTACATTTAATAGAGTTAACCCCTTTCTTTACATGTCTATAATCAATCGGACCTGATACTAACCATCCTAAGCTAGTTTCACAAAGAATCGGCTGACCGTCCCCTAATTTTAATCTCTGCATTCCTATTAAGGGGCTACTCCATGCGAACGACCTTGAGCATTCGGTCCGCCGCGCCGACTCGCTACAATATATCGCGTAAGAAATATGCAAAATGCCACCTACTGTACGAATTAGGTATTATTTTTTCAATATCAATAAACTATTTTATGGAAATACACACGGCGTACAACGATAAATGTATTTTAATTTTTTTATTCGGTATATTAGTTGCATTATGTTAGAATTATGTATTCTCATATATTATCTAATCATGGAATTTTATAATTAATTATATATTAAAAACTAGCTGTGCCCCGCGACTTCGCCCGCGTGGATTTTACTACGATTTCATGGACATCAATTTTTTTTGCGCGGAACCCTAATTTTGCTTTTGAGTAATGTTACCATCTTATAAATATTGACAAATATTGACATTAATATTTATACTATACTAACGTCAATCAATTGTTTTGCCTTCCCGGAACCCCTCCACTAACACTTAAACTTTATGGTATGGTATTAAAGTTCAAATTGACTTTTAAGTATTATTACGAATCTTTTGTATGGGAATATAGAAAAGTGTTGTTTTTAGACTCTTTCAGGCAATTTTTTTAAATTTTTTCTCCGTAAGAACCATCTTCTTACTTCAAGGAATATTATAAAAAAATAATTAGCGAAATCGGTTCAGCTGCTCTCGAGATTTGCGCTTAGCAACACATTCAGCGATTCATTTTTATATTAGAGATGAAGCATTGAAAATTGTGAGTTTAAAAGATACCTACTCACTATAGGTAAATAGATAGATAGCTCGCCTTTTGTACAAATATTAGGTGCAATAAAGAATAAATAAATAAATAGGATGTTTTGCAAATGTGTTTTTGATTATTGTTAATTTTTACCTGTCACGTATTGAAAGTAACATACGGGACTGTCCCTTTTCTCGGTCACCTGTCCCATTGTCCCCAAACAAAGCTCCGTGACACAAAATTGTCCCGTAACTCATTGGATGGAAGTATTCAGTCTTTCGCACCAACAATCTTCAACATAATTTTTTTTAATCGAATATATTTTATGTCTACCTGGTACAAATGCTCCAGTAGAAAGAGGATTTTTCTATTTTGAATAAATTGTGGACGTCTGAAAAAAATACTTACGGTTCCAGTTCTAAAGGCGATGTTGTTAACAAAGGTAACAATAAAAAAAAACTTGCCCAGAATTTTATTCTTATTTAAAATCGTTACCAACTTTATTAAAGCAAAGGAGATTTTCCAGAAATGTATGGAGCCTGGGCTAGCACTATGTACACTATATGTAAATATCGCTATATAATATAGTAACCGTTTTTTATTGTTAGTTTTCTTTAATTTCACTTCGTTTCAATGTATATTTAAATTAACTTGGTCAAGGAGAGCAACACAACATTATATTAAACATGGTGGATCACACAGAGAAAACCATAGACTTATTATAGAAAACACGAAAAATGTCATTTTGACATTGACGTTTGATTGGCGTGTATGTATCGTAATTCGTAATATCAACAATAAAAAAAAAACAACACGAATTTCGAAAATCTTGGGATACGATAAACTTAGACTACAGAATACTCAACTCGATTTGTCGCAATCGAGTTGAGTATTCTGTCTGCACATCTTATATCACCTATTAGAGTAGTTAGAGATTGATTATATCGAAATGAAACGAAGGCTTGAATGTTATTTTGTTTATTAACACTTTCCTGCTGCTTCATTCTTTAGTGCCTATCAATATATTCTGGACTTCGATAATTCATAGGTGAGCAGTGAGCTGTGCAGTATCTGACAAATGCAAGTTATTGTTAAAGTGGTTATAGTAGTTAACTATTCCTATTACACAGTAACAGCTGGTAAGATACCAACTATTTTAGTTCAATTAGGCAGAAGCAGCATAATCAGCCTATAATGTTCCCACTGCTGGGACATATACTTCCTTTCTGTGAGGGAGTGGACTGTAATCCACCATGCCGGCGTATCGGTGTGTTTGAGGTTTTTACATGAACCAGTAGTCATATTAAAAATATGACATTCAATTAGAATTATTTATATAATATAATCTATAAACATGTGTGCAATTCACAGGTGGTAGAAGTGAAACTTTATTTATTTTTATTAATACAATTTATTTCTAATTCATTCTTTATTATTAATTTATTGAGACCAGTATTCAGAGTATTCCATCTTATTCACTCGCAGGCAAAATCCTGTAGATGTATCTGTTTGTCTTTTTCTGGGTCGCTTTTTCATTTTATTATTCAATCTATTATATTCTATTAAATCTGCAGCATCGTCCCGTATCGGTTCAGTGGAAGGCGTTGCTAGCGCCAGCCTTCCCGTGGCCACGTGCTGGACCTTGGAAGAGTGCATCCTGGCGGGTTGTACTTCGAAGCGGCTGCATTGTGTGCAGCACGGTGAAGTGGAACTTAGAGATGTGGCGCCCGATACGGTAAGCGTCTTTCGTCATCTTCGTAGAAACTGAAACAGTCCAGTGTTGGATAATAAGTTCTCACATATCCGAATAGGATATCCGCTGTAAAACTTGAGTTACCGGCATAGTCGAACGGATCAATAAGCAGAAGTGGCAATGGGCTCATTTACGGGCTCGAAGGACCAACAACCGATGGGGAAGAAAGGTTCTCGAGTGGCAGCCTCATACCGGTAAACGAAGTGTTAGGTGACCCCTCTCTAGATAGAGTGACAACCTGGTAAGAGATGTAGGAAGTCAGTGGATGGAACAGGGGCAGCGCGGTGGACACATCTTTGCCCTAAAACCCTCTTATCGCTTCGTTAAATCTTTGTACACATAATATTTTTAAGTGACGAGCGATAGTCACCTTAAGATACTTTGACAATCACCTTAATATACTTTGATAGTCATCTCAATATTCTTTGATAGTCATCTCAATATTATTTGATAGTCACCTCAATATACTTTGATAGTCACCTCAATATTCTTTGATAGTCACCTCAATATACTTTGATAGTCACCTTGTTCGAGCAATATTGTAATGCGTGTGTGTAGTATGTAAGATGAACAGTATGCAAGTGTGAGTGAGGTCTTTAATAAGGTAAAACGTAATTGAAATGTTCTGTAGCAAATAAATCACCGTATCATTGACACCTTGTTTCTGTGATCAGTCCCTGTAAAAATAGTGAACCTTAATACCAAAACATATGGTCGATAATCGAGTCGGATCTAACGACGTGTCTCTTGTGACGTTATAACTATCAAGTGCTAAACAAAAAGACGGACCGGGCGGTCGAGGCGAGAACAAAAGAACCTTTTTTACCTGAGTGTGACTTGTGCAAGTTATAAGACATTTTACGAACGTTTGAATAATTATATATTTAAGTTATCGAAGTAAAACTAGTTTGTTTATATTACATTTGTGGAACGTTTTATACATTTGTGGAACGTTTATATAAATAAGGCCACTACACCGGAACAAATATTATCTTTACTGGAAAATACTGCGACATTATTACAAAAGGCTCAAAACAACCTAAAAAAATGTCCTAAGCAACGTCTTACAAAAGGATACATTGAAATTCGACTGCAAATGATAGAAGAGTATTGGAATTCTTTTAAAAACTCACATCAAGATCTTGTAAAATGTGTTCACAAAGAAAAGAAGCAAAATATACCTTATTTCGCAAACGAAGACTATTTTATTTATGAAGATCTATACTTATGTTTACAAGCCGACCTAAGAGATTTATTGTCAACATTAACACAGCCTAAATCAATTCATCATAGTGTACCTACCAACCCTATTACATCCAATGAAGGAATAGTCAAATTACCACGAATACAACTGCCTTCTTTCACCGGTATTTACGAAGAATGGCCTGCATTTCAAGATCTATTTATGTCGTTAGTACACCACAACTCATCTCTTAGTAAAGTACAAAAACTTCACCATTTAAGGAGTAGCCTTAGTGGTAAAGCCGAAACTCTATTGAAGCATATACAAGTAACAGAAGATAATTATGATCAGTCATGGGTGATGCTTAAAACTCGTTACGGAAATAAACGTATAATAGTAAATTCACTATTGAAAAGATTATTTATGCAGAGGAAAATCCCTGCCCAAACTGCAAACTATGTAAAGGCACTTCTCGATACCACTACAGAATGCATTAATAGCTTAAAAATCTCACTATTTAAACCGACTCTTGGGATCCATTAATGATATTTTTCGTTGTGCAGAAGTTGGACCCAGAGACGCACAGAGAATGGGAGGAGTTTGCTTACCGGGAAAATTCTGATGAATTACCTTCGTGGGCGGATGTCTGTAAGTTTCTTCAATCGAAATTTCGTACATTAGAGTTAATCACACCTTCACCAAAGGATAAGATAATAAGATATAAAGAAAATATAATCCATGTTGCTACTACGGCTACGTCTAAATTAAGAAGTTGCCTAATGTGTAAGGAAAATCATACACTGTGTCACTGTAGGGAATTTACTAAGATGGAACCAACAGAAAGGTGTCAATATCTAAAGAACCACAATCTGTGTTATAATTGTCTGGCCCCAGGACACTCTGGAAAGAAATGTCGCCTCAACATGTCCTGTCGTATATGTCATAAACGTCACCACTCTTTAGTGCACCAAAACATGGTGACGTCATCAAATCAACCAGACAATCACCAAGCGCATGAAGCGAAGAATAATGATCAAGGAAGCTCTGCAAATCCAACAATATCAAATGTTCAGTTATCATCACACTTTGCTACTAGTACCACCACAGCATCATTAGTTGTCAAAGATCAACGGGGACATACAGCTGTACTAGGTGCCTTAATAGACCATGGCTCAGAAGCCACATTTATAAGTGAAAGAGCTGCTCAGACACTTAAACTGAAACGCACAGTTATTAATTACAGTTAATACACAGTTATTAAAGGCACAGTTACAGGCATGGGATGCAGTAAAACAATTTTGAAGCAAGCTGCTGAAATACAGCTTTTATCAAGATACGAAGCAAACTTTAACCTCAATATCAAAGTTTACATAATGCCAACTCGTCTTACATGTCAGTTACCAACTCGAACCATTTGCCTGAAGAACTGTTCACACCTCCAAGGCCTCGTTTTAGCACATCCAGGCTTCAATCAACCAGGACGGATAGATATGTTATTAGGTGTGGACGTATGTGCCCAAATTATGAAAGGTGAAGTAATCAAGGGTCCTCCAGGCACTCCATGTGCTCAAAATACCAGCCTGGGATTGATTATGTTTGGCCACATACAAAGCAACAGAGAAAATTATGATGTCAGATTCATGCATCTTAATTTGAATTTAGATGACATGCTGAGGAATATGTGGGAGCAAGGTACAGACGAAAAAAGACCATTAACAGCAGAAGAAAAAACATGTGAAGAAATATATCAAGCTACAACGCACAGAACATCACAAGGACGTTATATTGTAAAACTTCCAACAAAACAAAAGACACTTTTATTACTATCAGGAAGAACAAGAGATACAGCACTAAGAAAATTGTATCATTTAGAAAATAAATTCGAAAAATACCAAAGCTTAGAACGTGAATACACAAAGGTGATGCAAGAATATATAGAATTAAATCATTTAGAATGGGTACCAGAAAATGAAATTAACAAGCCAGCACTATACCTTCCTCATCATGCCCTTGTAAGGCAAGATAAAGAAACAAGTAAAGTGAGAACAGTTTTTAATGCTTCGCAAAAGGGAAATAATAATATTTCCCTCAATGGAGAGCTACTGGTAGGGCCACAGTTGCAAGACGACATGAGAAGCTTAATCATGAGATGGCGAATGAAAAAGATCTGTTTTGTTGCTGACATCCAAAAAATGTACCGCCAAATTTTAGTCTCAAAGGAAGATAGATTTACTAAGAATATTATGGAGAAGTTGCAAAATCCAACCAGTACAAGATTATCGTCTCCTGAGAGTTACGTTTGGAACTGCTTCTGCTCCATATTTAGCAGTAAGAACCTTGCATTAAGTTGCGGAAGACGAAGGTTGAGATTACTCTGATGCTGCCAGAATTATAAAGGAAGACTTTTACATGGATGATCTGATGTCAGGCAAGGACACACTTCAAGATGCAATCAAAGTAGCGAAAGAGATTGGGTTTATTTTGCAGAAGGGAGGTTTCACTCTTCAGAAGTGATGCTCAAACAACGCAGAGTTCTTAAAACAATTTGAACCCTCTGAAAGAAGTTCTCAAGTACACCTAGATATAAAGATAGATGGAACAATACGGGCACTAGGCTTACAATGGGACATGGGAAAGGATGTATTTAAATATAGTCTTCACTTACCTTCTATGGCTGCTACTGTAACTAAGAGAACAATTCTAGCCGACATTCAAAGATAATTTGATCTACTTGGCTGGTTAGCACCTTCTATATTGCCTGCAAAATTACTCATCCAACATTTATGGACACAAGGAATTTCATGGGATGAAGAAGTTAACCACTTAATTGCAGAAAAATGGAGAAAACTGAGAGAAAGCTACCAATACTTACCTGAGGTAGAGATCAACCGGTGGCTGCATACATCTGAAAATGTAATGAATAATGTTACAGTTCATGGTTTCTGTGACGCATCTACTCAAGCATACGCTGCAGTTGCTTACTTAAGAGTTCAAACTATAGATGGATTGGTTAAGACAGAAATAATTGCAGCGAAAACACGTTTAGCTCCTATCAAACCTCAATCCTTACCTCGCTTAGAGCTTAACGGGGCTGTACTCCTGGCGAGACTCCTGAAAAAAATAAAGAAAGCTATGAAAATACCTACCTGTCAAATATTCGCGTGGACGGATTCCACCATAGTACCCTCTTGGCTCGTTGGAGATCCTGCAAGGTGGAATACATTTTTGTGAGAAACAGAGTTGTCGAGATATTAGACAGCATTGGCAACCAGAACTGGTATCACGTCCAATCACAAGACAACCCTGCTGCCGCTTCTAGAGCGATGCCCGTGCTCGATCTGAAAGATGTTAAAATGTGGTGGAACGATCCTGAATGGCTAAGTACAAGTAATATTAAAGTAAATTGCCGCCTTAGAGAATAAAATTGAATCAATGGAGCAACAGGCAAGGCAATATAATATCGAGATTGCTAATCTCCCGGAACGCCGTAACGAAAATCTTATAACCTTATTACAGAAAATAGGTACAATAATAAAACATCCTATCAATGCCACAGACATTCTCTCCGCTCATCGTGTACCCCATTTTGATCAAAAAAATCAACATCCCAAAAATGTGATTGTTAAATTATCCTCCAAAATATTGCGAGACAACATAGTTGTGGCGGCGAGGGCAGTAAGAGGAGTCAGATCTGACCAACTCTCAATCTCTGGCACTCCGTGTACGATTTATTTAAATGAGCACCTGACTCCAAAAAATAAACAATTATTTCGTTTATGCCGTGTCGCTGCGAAGAAGC